GGGGGAGAAGGGGGAGGAATATGAGATGGGGAAGGAGGAAGGGGAGAAGGTGGAAGGGAAGGAGGAGATGGATTTGGGAGAGGGAGTAGGAAGGAGGGGGAGAAAAAGGGTAGGATTGATTAGAAGGAGAAGGGGGAGAATGAGGAGAATGTGAGGAGGAGGAGAAGGAGGGAGACGGTGAGGAGGGGAGGAAAGCCTGGTGTTGTGAATATATATATATAAATATAATGTTTGTGTGCGTTTGTGTGCGTGTGTGTGTGTGTGTGTGTGTGTGTGTGTGTGTGTGTGCGTGTGTATTCCGTAGCTTACTATTGGAGTGTCCAAAATTCTCATGAGAACCTTTAACTTGTACATGTACATTTTCCTCATGTCCGCTTGGCTAGTAAAACCTCTTTCATTAATTAATCCAGATTCTGTTCATTAATACCTCTCGGTTTTAAACAACATTATTTATTATTTAGGAATTCTCGTGGTCTGAAGGTATGGTGTTCACCTCTCATTCAATTGGTCCGGGGTTCGAAACCTGACTGCGACGAAAAATTTCTTCTCTAAAATTTTCTCCTTTCACCTTCTTTCCTACTGTCTAATCATATTCTGTCATCTTCCCCAACCCTTTTTATTCCCTCCTCTGGGCTCATGGCTCTTTCTACTTCTACTCCTGGCTCCTTCTAACTGCTATTTTTCAGACACACCCCTGATGATGATGATGCCTGATCTGAAGATCTAACACCTAGTCTTCTTGAATAACGACATGTATAAGGGTGAAAAAAACGCGTGTGCAAGTTGCGCACGTTAAAGATCTTTGGTGGTCTTAAAATCGATAAGAGTAGGCTTTGGCCGTCACCCTGGTTACATACAAAATTAATTCCTACCAAACTGAAAATATTTAACGTGCCGTTTGCGCTCAATGACCGTGTGAGTGCCGTAAAAACACTTTCCAAAACATACCCCAACAAAATATATAATTTTGGAATTTGTATTGTTGTTTGTTGGTTGGTTCTTCCTTTTTTTAAGGTTGGGGATGCTTCTGTTTGTTTGTTTCTGTCTCTCTATCTCTTGTGTCTCTATCTCCCCCCCCCCTTTCTCTCTCCCTCTCTTGGGGTTTCTCATGGTCTAGAGGTTAAGTTGTTCGCCTCTCTTCAAAAGGTCCCTGGTTCGAATTCGGATGGCGAAGGACAATTTTCTACTT